GACGGTTCGTCAACACAAATATTCTCTGGCCGGAAATTAGTGTTTCGCCTAATAAAATACACACACACACACACACACACACGGATGTGATAGCAGTTTCGGCGAACCGCAAAAATAAAAACCGATTCCAGTCGTCGCGCCACCGAGAAAATGTAATATAGACAAAAATAAAAAACCATAAAAACGCTCGTGGTCGTTTGTGGTACATACATTCACAGTTGGACAAAGTTCTTATTCGAATATAAAACATATGTAGGTATACTGAAAATATATTATATACTAAATAATGTTTTAAAAAATAATTTCTTAAAAAAAATACTTACTAACCGTTTACAATATTATGTTTAAAAAATATTTGGATAACTTTTATTCGTATAGTTGATATTGAAAAATATAAATAACTTCGTTTACTCGTGTGTTTACTGTAGTGTGTTATCCAGACGGTTATTTAGAAAAAGTGTTATTCAAATGATGCACAACAGGTCATTTCACTCGAATAATTTTATATTTGTATAGTTGTTCGAATAGGTAATTATTTTTGAAATCATTCGAATAATTAATAATTATTATCCAGACGGTTATTTAGATAACGTTGTATTCGAATAATGTACAACAGCTGTGGAGGCAAATAGGAGTCGTTGGCCGTGTAGATATTTAAAAAGAAATCTGCCAGATGAACACAACTTATTTCAATAAAGCATTACTTTACTTGTTGTACTACGTTTGCGAATCGTGTACAATGTAGGACATAATATTATGATAACATGTCCGGCTATACCTGAGCCATCATGAATTAAAGTAGCGGACAATTAAAAAAAAAAAAACACAGTTGAACCATGGACAAGTTATCTCTGATCACGTACACCTTATCACATATCTTTTATCTCTTATCACATATCACTGATTTCTAAACTCTTATCCCTTATATCTTGTATCTTATCACCATAGATATATTATATATATATATAATAAACTAGATTGCTAACTGTACATGCCACCAATACAGAAGATTGAAGCAGCCACTTTCCGTCATCTTGGTAGGAATTAGGACCCTTATCACGCGAGAATAATATATGTTTATAACAATCACATATATATACAATATTGATATAATAATATATACAAGTATATGTTATATGCATTAATAACACACATAAATCCCACCAGAATGGCGGACCGTCGGTTTCAATTCTTATCGCTAGTTAGCAATCTAGTTTATTATATATATATATATATATATATATATATATATATATATATCTGCACTTATCACTTAACTCTTATCTCTTATCACTAACCTATTATCACTTATCTATTGTATGTTGTCTTTAATATCTTATTCCTAATATTTTATTTTTAACTGACAGTGTAACGCGAAAAACGACAACGTGAAAATGGCGACATGAAATTTCAAGTTTAAAAAAAAAATTCTCTTCGTACAATCACCGTGCTCGATTAGCGTGTGACGTACAACATTTGTCACAGCGATCACTCGGACCGAAAGAACATAAAAATGAAAAAAAACGGCGTACTAAAAATGTTTGGATTACGTCTTACGATGGCTAAAAAGGAAAAAGAAAATCGTTACAAGCGATGGGCGACCCGCAACAAATTATTTAATATTCCTATCCATCCCCTTCTCTATTCTTTTCACATGACACTTTTTACAACAAATTCATACGGAATATTTACTGGCACATCAGCTATTAAATTGATACCATCTATAATGTGTATATACACATTGTATTATTATGTAATCTTTGAGCTTGCAACAATGCCGCCGGTTTTATATTATAATAATATTACACGACAGCAGCTATATGCTAGTTGTAAAGTACAATTATTACTATTACGTCACGAGCAATGTCATAAGCCGCTGAATTTTTTTCGTTGAATTTTTATTAATCGAATCCGAGCCAAATGATAAACGCCGTCATACTTATAATAATATAGTGCTTCTTTCTTTTCATTCTTTATTAACCAAAGGTATAAATTTGCCGAGATACGCGACTTTTTTTCATTATTACATCACGGTACGCCAAAAATGACTACAAGGTATATTCGTAATCCCAAATGAAATGTTTTTTTTGTTCATTTATTATTACACGCGGACAAAGTAGTATTTTTAATAATCCGCGTTTTGACTTGTTAGTCAATTTTTTTGGGGTTTTCAACCGAGCAACACAAATCGGTACCTATTTCTTATGCTAGTGTCTTATTAAAAAAAATGATGACCTAACCGGGTAAACCTTTACAGTTTTGAAGTCACATTTACACCTTTCAAGGCGTGATTTTTTATTTTTGTTGTAAAAACATTGCAATAAATTTCATTAAAAAACCAATCCAGTGGCGATGCAAACAAAATATGTTTCTTAATATGGATCTGTCATACGGAGTCCTAACCTAACCTATCCAATTTGGACAAGGCCAAGAGACTATTGATAAAATTGACCAAACCGATTTTTATATGTTATGTTAAGGTTCGAGTTGGGGAAGGAAGCACGGTGCACTAACTGAGGAGTTAGCGTTGGAGGTAAAACGGGATTCACTAGCCAAATGAAGATTTAATAACGACGTTAAGTTAATAATTATAAATTACTAAATAACGATATTGATTGTCACCCGGGTTCTTAGCTCAAGTACCCTTAAAATGTTAATTAAACCGACGGTTGTTCGCCGTTGTTTTTCACGCGATACAGCGTTGGTATACGATTTTTTTCACACCGACTCGGTACACACAAATTCATTAAGTGCACGATACGAACGGTATTTGGGAAATTATACATGTATTTTATAATATACACCGCAAGACTCCCCTCGGAGATAGAGCGAGATACTCATCCATCGACCCCTCTGGTCAGGGGAGGCGTTATATAATTTCACCTATACAACGCACAGAGATCAGATAATATACCACCGCGCATTGATTTATGTGCACCGGCGAAGAAATTACCCGACCGTTTTACACATACCTACGCCTTGTGAATTTGCTCGAATTGCGACCTTATCACACACACGAATATATTTATGCGGTTGCGATTATAAAATATACAATAAATAGAATTATTCGTTCGGAGAACAAAATATATAGGCGCTTCGAGCGAACGATACTGGCAAATATAATAAGCACACACACATCCATCTAACGTTCAACATGGCCTCTTATACAAGAAATAAGGTAATTGACTTTGTTTGTTCAAAAGCAATCACATATTTTTATGACGATAGCTAAGTAGTAAAAAAATATAATTTTGATTTTATTGTCGTTTAAATTTTTACTACTACTTGCTTTGAGATGACAATAGACAAGCGGTTCTACTGCCTACTAGTCTTAGTAATAACGACACTACTAACCTTGTATATACAATTTTGTATTAAAATTATGTAAAACGAAGCTCATTATTAGTATAGTTAGTCAAAATAAATCCCATAAAATAGCATTGTTGTTTTATTTTAAACTCGCTTGTCAACCATTATTAACAAACGAATTAAAAAAATACTTATAGCGTTTCTAGGTATAACGAATTATATGCTAAATTATCAGAAAGAGCTTCCAACAGAATTCGTTTGAAAAATGGCCATTGAGCTTCTTTCCGTTTTAATTAAAAAAATAATCATTAACGTTATTGGAATAAGAAAAAAATGGCTGGTTATATTTTTAACAATTATTTCTTTTTATCAATTTTGTAAATCTTAATTGTTGCAATCCGCTTCTGTTGTTCAGATACCGGTAAAAAACATTTTTCAATTAACTGAACATTTTTTAATAAAGGCCGTTAAAAATATAAATGACTTGTTTTATGTACAAACAACGACGATATCAAAACTAAGCCTATCATATTTTAACTATGTAGACATTATGTTATGCGCACAGACAATCTGACAGTATGGTAATTATTTTTTAAAATTTACACATGCAAAATTGGACTGTACACATGTATGAACATTTAAGTCTATCTATTTAGTATCTGTACTTTAACAATTTAATACTGTTACCACCGCAGTGGGAAAGGCGTTTTAATCGCCGTTGGCGTTTGTCACACGTTGGCGTTAGTTTTTGAATATTAACACCGGCGGCGGCGGCCCCTTTTTGCAAGTGGAAGTTTCGTTTACATTTTCAACGATTTAAAATATTTATAAGCAATTCGATTGTTGGCCTCTTCCGCCATAATTTGCAATTCGTTTCACACAAACGGACATCGTTTTGGAGAGAACTCGGGGGAATCGGATTTCACACGGGTCAGACGCGCGTTCCCAGCATAAAAAAAAAATATATATATATATATAAAATCGCCCTTTAAGAGCACACAACACGCCAAAAGTATACGGTGATAAGCCTTCAGATTTTTTAATGGACGAGGATTTTTCCCCCATCCTATTACACGCCTTCATCTCAGACACGTGCACGTCGTCCGAATTGAAAGGTTCCAATCATAATAATATGTCTAACGCAAATGGATAGTGTGTGTTTTTGTTTCTGTGTAAATATTTTTTTTATTCAGCATTGAGTCCACACACATATAAGGTGATCCATCCGTCCTTATGATATCGTCTAAAATTATTTTACTTTATTATTTATTTGTTTTTTTTTTTGTTGTTTATCGATCGAAAGCCTCAGCCACGTGGACCATTGGTTGTATAACCGCAGGTTATCTTACATACTATTTGTACAATTAGTTTTGAAAACGGTTTAGTATGTGCAGTTGTTATTTGCATTAGTATCCATACCAGTCAGATTGGGGAATAGAGAGCCCTAGGATTGATCTTTGGGTAGTTGATTGATTCGTCCAAGATGTTCCTATTTTCTGCGTTCGGTTATTATGTGTTCGACATTACTGGCTTGGGTAAGTTTTGTGTGGCCAATTCTGAGTCTGTACAGTCTGCCTGTAATAACAGACAAGTTTTTTTGTGGTTTGGCTTGTGTAAATGTTGCCATTTGGTGATCAATATGCAAACAACGTTTGTTTTAGCATTAATAAGTTAATAGATTCAATTTTTTCTTTGTTTTATAACGCTTTTGTAATCGTTTAATCGCAATAAACAAGAATATTACATATCAGTATTAAAGTAACAGCTTTTATAAAGACAAATATCGACTAAAAATATTCACTAAAGAACTACAAGTGCTTGCTTGAGCGGAATTCCATCTTCGCTGGCTTTTTTTGCCGACGGCAGCATGAACACCATGTTGTTGCCATTTGGGAAATTGAAATCGTCATCGTCATTGCTCACCGAACGGGTGTCTCTTGGACTCGCTTCGGACCAATTGCCGCCGTCTTCAAAGCTGGAAGGCTCGTCAAAGGCAAGCTGTTGGTTTCTTATTTCGGAAATCCCTTCATTATTCGTACTGTGGTTGAAATCGAACAACGACCGTTTAGAATCTTCCATTGCTTGGTCTTCGACCGTAGGCGCTCCGGCACAACCACTTTGGAAAATCTACAAACCACATGCGACATAATAATTAATGCGTTTACAATATTGCCTATTAATACTATAATATAAGAGTGGCCTATTGAGTTTTTACATAATTGCTGAATTGCACGAGGCTTGTTGTTTTTTTGACGTTTTAGACCAAAAAGCCAGACAAAATTAAAATTCATTCAATTACAAGAAACCGAAATTCGGCTTCTTACATACCATTGTAAACTAATCAAAGAACTCTAATCTTTTTACAAAATTGAAATTAGACCATCTTAAGTAGTCGAAATTTTGTCTGGCTTTTTTTGGTCTAAAATTAGCCAAAATGACTTGTGCTCGAAGAAAAACTTATATAAATTGAAAATAATACCTTGAAGCTTATACGAATTAACCGGAAAATCAATTACAATACCGAAATTTATCAAAACCACTTTTTTCTTAAATATTGCCGTTACATAACTATTATTCAAATTATTAAAACCATTTTAATATGTTTAAATGGCCACGATCAAACAAAATTAATTTAGTGAAATAACGCGTGTAATACTAATTTTTTAATTATGAACTATATAAAAAGATATAGATATATATATATGAAATCAATATCTGACTGGAAATTAATTGCAAATAAAATGTATTGGCTATATTTTAACAACTAACGAACACTTTGTTGTAATTTGTAACCGGCTAGCATCAAAGGCTTTGGTTTGTCGCCTAAAGGGGCCAATTTCAGACCAACTACCCTTCATAATAATATTATACCATTTACTATTGAAAAAAAACTTTATTAGTTTATAACACAAAATAATGTAATTTAATCAAATATTTGTACAAAATTACAAAGATGCGTGAAATTACTTATTGTACTAGTTACAATAACACCACTGCAGACAGGGAAAACGGGAAAATTTTAAAAAGTGGTCTTGAAAACAAAATGAAAACATTCTGTTTCATTTATCAAATAAAGAACTTATTTATTTATTGAACTTACTATATCTTACTTGTATGGCCAAATAAAAGGCTAACGTCACGCCGGTCGCATACATAGATATTTCGGTCATATTGAATTGCTGCGATGTAGCACGGCCGAATTACTAATATTATTTATAATGTAATTTTATTAAAAAAAAAACAAAACCTTAAACGTAAGCCTACGCGAGAGTACCTCGAGCAATGCTTGTAGAATAAAAGTTAATATTATTTGTTTTGTTTTTTTGTATCGACCTCGTTATTTATGGTTTCCCAAAAACGTTGCAAACCAATTATTACCCGTAGAGTCTGTTAGTAGGTACAATACCTATGGCTAATCCAATTATTGTAATAATTTGTTTTGTTATTGTAGACTGCAGTACAAACAAAATAAAAAACATATTATGTGTTAAAGGTAATATAATACAATACATAATATAATTATTATTATTATGAGCGTGCGAGCCAGTTTGTCTCTTCCAATCTCTGTTCAAAGGCATGATAATATTATTGTATTATTCTGGTTTTAACTGACACACGCGTGTTTGCGAATATTCCACCTGCTGTGTAAACGGTTAATTTGCCAAATTAACGATAACACTTTTCTCTTTATTTCTCTTTTGTAGTGGTGTCGGTGTATTGTGTTAAACAGGTACAGGTATTTACGCGTTAAGCGTGTAATGCGGTAGTAAACAAAACAAAACAAAAAATAACCGGTATACGATACATAGATGTCATTTTCATAAAGTATAAATATTGTAATAATAGTAGGTAATACGTTTGTGTTTTGGGGGGGTGGAAAAAAAGCTGTATGACAAATAATATGGGTCGTTTATTATAAAAAAAATGATAATCAGTTTATGATTCAGAAAGTCGCAAGGGTTATAATTATAATAATAATAATTTATACACAACATGAAAAACGTAGGCCTTTAATTTCAAACGAGTTTTTGATTCTTATATTAATTTTAGTTCCCAACCGTCGGATAATTAGACTCCGCCAAGTTAAATTATCTCTCCGGGATCTAATTGTCCGACCGAAGGGGAGAAAAACAAAAAGTACCTCTTTAATCATGAACTAAATTAAACCATAACGACTCAAGTTAGTCGGCGGTGTACATTATTATTGTACATTTGTCAATCACATTTATCAAACTATATTTACGGGAATATTTAAATGTGCATTGTGAATTTAACGTGAAACTGCTCACAAATGGTAATATTACCAAAAAAAAAAACATTAATATAATACCTACCTACCTACCTTATCTATGTACTTTTTACATAGATAGTCCTAAAATAAAAATATCCAAGTATTTTACACTAATTGAACTCTGTGAAGTGGAATATATGTCTTTGTCCCATAATAGGTATATTATGTGCTATACATATAAAATTTTAATTTAATCTTAAGTCGCCGGAGAATGTATAAAATGGTAAAAAATGTCATTCGTCCTTTATTAATTAAACTAGTCATAGTTATACATAATACAAAAAATAATTAATGTTTTAACAAGTTATTGGCAATAACTTATAAGTATACTAAAACGACAGTGTGACGTGTGGCCTTAACTACAGCAATTTAAAAATAATATAATTTAATGTTATAATAATATTTAGTACAAATGTTTTAAACGCTTTCGAATAGTGAACAGTAAAAATTTGAACATTACGGTTTTAAAAACTTAAATATATATATTTTTTATATTTCTAATACAAGTTAAATAATTTGTAAATACATATTATTGTGTTCAAAATTGAATCCGCAGCCAAAAACTCTACTTAGACAACATTGATTTTGTTTCGCCGTGTGTGAGTACATGCAAAGTTGTGAACCATTCGAATAAATAAATAATAATCATCTAGATGTCACATTAGTCGAGTAGAGTGTTATTCGAATAATTCCAAACATAATTATTATTTGAATAATATTGTATAGAATGAAAAATTATTTAAACAGTTATTATCCGAATAGTTTTTCATTCAAATGATAATTCGCACAACTCTGGCTGAGTTACTCTTAGAAGGGCGGCCGGGGGAGGTTGAGTTTCTAATCTCTTTTTTTAAACGCCGAAAAATCGTTGTCAAAGTCTAAAAATGGATTGTACCTGTTGAAAGGCACGCCTCCCCAACCGGCGCCTCCGCCCCCGGAAAACGGGTTGAGCCCCCCGTACGGGTAACCGGGATACGCTGCCGGCGGTCTGCTCCAGACGCCTGGCCCTGCGGCGCCGGCATACGGATAGGGGGCCAGTGCCGGGTTCGGGTAGTAGCCGGGAGTGCCGAAGCCCGGCGTCTGCGGGTACAGTCCCGCGGCTCCCGGGGGAACCCAGTTCTGGAACAGGGCGGCGTTCAGCAGCAGTTGCTTGCGGCGCAGTATCCTCTCCAGCAGGCTGTCGATCAACGGCGTGTCCAGACCGAGTTCCAGGCCTATGCCGAAGCCCAGCGTGTCCGAAGTGTCTTGGTCGTCGGCTTGCGGTTGCTGCTGAGATCCGAACTTGTTCTGGACAGACGAGGGAGACGTCGACGACGATAGCACACGGCTTCTGGCAAAGGCAGCCGCGAAGTCGCCGGGTTGTATCCGCACCAGACTGATTGCCGTCGAACACCGGCAACACAACAACAACCAGATCTAAACGGTACCAAACAAAAAATACATTAGGAACGTGAAATTTTAAAAATTTTCAAATAATTTATTCGAACGATTGAATAATTTAATTAAAACCTCGTTAAACAAGGTTGGAGAGAACAGCGTAGTCTGCCCTAGTTCATCTGTCTGGAACAAGGGAAGGCAGAAAAAAAATTCTAGTCATTTTCTCCACTCCCCACGGACATTCAAACATTAATATGTTATCTCTTATTACTTATCTGCAGAGCATCGGATCTTTTTAAAAAGTGATTTTATTCAATTTTATTACTTTTATTTATAACAAATTCCTGTAGACCTGTGACATCTCCGTATCCCCGCGTTGCTTTTATTCCATTATGCCTATACAGCACCTCAATTTAATATTTTGTCTAACTTTGCTGGCTTATACTGTGCTTGGTTTGTACTGTACTGGCTTGAAAATACTAACTACTGATTTGCATCGAAGCGTTTTTTCAAAAGTGATTTTATCACTTTCAGATTTAAAAATTCCTGTAAACCTGTGACCCCCCCATCCCACTATGCCCCGACCCCACTGTATTGTTTTTTTCTTATATCATTAATCTCTTATCGCTTATCTTTTAACTCTTATCTCTAATTGAAAGTGAAAGTGTAGAAATGGCAACATGAAATTTCTTGTATCCAGCCCAATACAATATATTCATGTGTTAAAATAACAATTCATTTTTTATTCAAAAAATTAATAATTCAAAAATAGCGAATAATTCTAGTAAAGTATTCAGTTCAATTCGCAAAATTTTTATTTAAAAAAAAACGAATTAAATTAATAATGAAAATAATCGATTTCATGGTTTTTTCCCGATACATGACTTAAAATTGTATTCAAGTAAGTACGGCTTAGAACATTGAAGCCCCCGCGTTTTATCAATCATAAAAATTTGTCACATTAAAATGTCCAATTGAAGTACATTTGTTTAGGTTTACACAAAAATAAAAAATAAAACCTCTTGAGCGGCTCGAAAAATATGTGCTGCCCTGTTTATGGTAAATACGTTTTAGTCAATAATTTAATACCTAAATCGTGTATTTGTATACAAATAATAAATTAAAACTAAAATTATATCTTTTAAAGTCAACGTAGGCTCGTCCGCTTTAATCGTTTAAATGATAAAAAATAAACTAGTTGTTTACTGCATTTATTTGCGATTCGTTATTTAATTAAATTAATCAATATTTATCCGATCAAATTTTTAAATTTGTTAGTTATTCAACAAAGTATTATCAGTTGTTATATATCTTTTATACAAGCCGCACAATATTTTGCCACTTTTTATGTAATACCTATTTTAAAACATATCCGATTGATGTACCCAAAATTGACATACATAGGTACTATTAACTTCTGCCATCCTTCCAAAAAAAATATACATAGTTAGTACGTTTTATTAATTCATTTAGCTAAAAATAATTATTATGTATATGTACATGTTTAATAGTATAAGCTTAGTAACGGTTTAAACGAAATCACCCAAGCGATAAATAAACAATAATCCTTTTTACATAAAATGTCAACTCGAATAATTATTCTCCTGGTGAAATTCAGCGATTTCTTTGAATTATGATTTCTTTGATTTTTTTAAAATAAATTACAGCGTGATTTAAAATATTTTGTTCACTGCGACGACGGAAATGGCGGCTGTGAACACACAGTTGTTACTGCAAGCTCTCAGATCAGTTTTAAATTTATTTTTATTTAGTACAACTTGCAATGTAAGCATATTTGCAAGAAGTGGTCGCCCACAATTTCAGGCGACTCGTTCTAGATTTTATGAAATTTAAAGGAATATCCTGATAAACCTTGCATTTTTTTTATGCACCAACACTATTATACATAAATAACATGAATTTGTAAAAGATTATTCGGTGATTTCACGGCAGTCTTCGTTATACCGTACAAATCTATCAAGTGGGGGTATTACTTGTTATTTTTTTATGAAATAATGAAAATAAGATAACGCATGACGAACCAGAGCCGCTACCTGCGTGACTTGAATCAATTATGTCTGATTTGTAACCTTTATGCGACTGTTATACTTCCTTAAGTGGTTTCCCATTCAATTGGTATATAGTTGATTTTATTCAACCGTCTTTGGCATCGTACAATATAATATCTACTATTATAATATACCGCCGCATGTGCTGTTTATGTTGAGAAACTTGTAATATTAATAAGTGCGCCGCCAAATTGGTGTGTGTCTTACTTGAATAAGTACTTGGCGCATGTTCTTATGCATAAACACTGCCGCCGATCTTCAAACTAATATTGGAAAACTTAATTTTACAAAATATTAATACATTTCTCTGGGAAATCCTCTTTGATGCGTCGCGGCACACCCGCAAAATGACACAAATTAGTTTTATGTCGACAAAGTTAGCAACAGCTCAATAACCGTCGGTTCTGCTGTGGAGTATTAAGCTCTTAAAACAATAATGTCTTATTTACAAAATTTCCCCTCTTAAAACTCGAGTGCCGCGCTTAACGTTTAAGTGCTGAAATTCGATTAAATTTAAATAAACAAACGATATTGCCTGAAATACACTATTATCGAGACGGATAAAAGTGGCGTACCAATGGAATGATAATTCAACCGTTCAAATGGGTGGTAAACAATTTTAGGCTGAAGGTAAATTTCAATACCTATTAAGATTCAAACGGCATGTAATTGCTAATCGTCTGAATGTAAAATACAAAAAAAAAACGTACCTATCTACCAGGTTATTTTTTTTTTTAATCTCTAAAAGGTTTGCGTCCGGCAAAGCAGTATTTCCAGCAGTATTGTTTTTTTATTTGTTATTTATTTAACAATAACAATATAGTTTTGAACTTTTCACGGTAATAAGCTTATGCCGGTGCCTTCCGATGAGTTATTACCCGTATGGAATTATTGACGGTATTGCCTCCACCACAACTTGATCGTTCCCTTGGATACCGACACAAAGATTATATTCATAAATATTTTATACTAACCACGCCGGCATGTAGTAGTGGCGTATTTTGGATTACTGGCCGAATTTTCGCTGTCGGTGTATTTATTTTTCATATACGAATTTTTCAAGCTCAATAAAAGTATATTTTTTTTATTCCTGGGGTTTTTTTTTTTAACGAAACGTTATTTGATATAAGCTTAGGGATTTCGGATAATTGTAGAACAATATCGACGGGTTTATTCAATTACTGAGCAAAACTAAAACATTGCAATTATTTTAAGAGAAAATGACCGTCTTACCCTGAATGAATCACCCTGTATTCGTCGAGACAACGTTAATAGTTGTTATATTCATCGGGCCAAGTTAAAGGCAGAAAGGGTAAATCACCAGTGTAGACATTTTCGAAAATCTCTGGTAGTCTCCAAGTAATCTTCAAAAATCTCTGGTAATTTTTAGGTAAACCCTGAGTGATCTCCAGGCAATCTCCAAGTGATCTCCAGGTAATCTCCAGGTAATTTCCGGGTAACATCTGGTCCCGTCGGTCAGAGCTTAATATGGTATTCACATTGTACCGGGTGATGCATTTAACGCCCTACACTCGTTTTCTCTTAAAATAATAATTGCAACTGTGTAGTGTTTCTTTTTGAAAACGTTTTTATTTATGTTACCACAACAATATTAGGGAATATTCAAATTTTTAAACAGTCAATAAATTATTACAAGATTAGGTAAACTTGAGTGTAAGGCGGAAACTTATCGACGTTATTCTTTCTTTTCGTTTTTTTCTTCGTAGATTTCTGCGATATTTGAGTTTCACAATAAGAATGCACACAAAGGGTTGTGAGGGGGGGCTGCTAAACGTGTAGGCATACTCTAATGTATAGTTTAAGAGTCCACCGGTGTGTCGGCGCACGTAGTATTTTTCCTAATTGCACACCGGAAACGCGAACAAATGCCAATCTAATGGACCGAATGCGGAAAGTTGTGTTTGAAAACGACAAAAATATGAATGCGAAAAGGTCATTCCGTGCACACTTGTCCGCCGGGGCAACGAGCAGCGACTCACGTACCGTATAACTCTTATACTACAAATTGCAGTTTTTCCCATCGCACCCCATCAGCCCCAGCAGCAGCAGCACATAGCCCCGGCCATCCCCCATCGTCTTATCCGGGAGCATACAAGGAGGAGATCCATTAACAGCGGACGATGGCCGGAATCGTATTATAATTTAACACGAGCACAATGCCGTCGCATAATAATAATAATATGACTGCGAAAGAACGTTCTCATTTTTTTATCCCGTTGACGTTTTTTATTATTGGTCCGGTTTTTTTTTGTATTTTTTTTTTACCTATTACGCTATTATGATCATTCCACGGCAATCCCGCGAGAACCGAGGCCCGTGGATATTTTTCACTCGTGACAGCGCTTGTTTGTCTTCGGAGATAATTTTATTTTTTCTTTGCCCTCGCCCCGTCTACCCCCGAGCTATTTGTCCGGCATAACCCCTCGTCCCCACTACCTTCGAAAAAAATTGAAGGTAATTTGCTGGAAAACGTCACGTCACAATGTATACAGGGTCCCAAGTTTGACACTAATTTTCTCGGAAAATATGATTATTACTATTATTCCTATACTTGTATACATATTTTACTATATTTTTTTTTTTTGTATATACTCTCAATGCTGTTCAACCTTCATCCCTTGCACGAAAAACAAGTATGAACTTGTATTTGAATTTTTGACTTAGGGTTCACGTTAAAGACCATTAAATGTCCTTCCTAGAAATTCTTAGTTTAGTAGAAAATTTGAATTAAAGAAATTGCCATTATAGGGGACTGAACTGCAGTGCGAAGGACTAAACAAATATTCAGTTAAACAAACAATTTCTTTTTAATTAACAACATCATAATACATAACAATATAATACTATTATTGACATAATATAGTGGGTTATCACATTGGACTTTTATAAAACTAAATGTAAAATTTTTAGTCCTTCATAATAATATTTTTTTGAAAACTGAGGGACTGAAAATCGCACCCAAAAACATTAACAACTGGTTAAGATAAGGTTGGAGAAAAGCCATATTTTTGGAACACTTACAGACTATAAAAACACTTATTGTGAAAAAAATAATAAAAGAAAAGACACTTCCAGTTAAAAAAATACAGCTTCGCGAGGGCTTGAATGACGAATTTGCCGGACTACGTTTTCTCACTATCAACTTGTTTAATAATCATCAAGAAATGAGATAAGCCAAAAGCGGTCAATGTTACTTTCAATGTTGACATTCAAGCAATGCGGCTATTTCTCAAAAACGCAATTCTAAGTAAAAGCTTTGAATTGGTGCCACTTTAGGAAAATTATGAGGTCCTGAACTAAAAAGTAAGGGACACATAGTTTATAGGGTAAAATGAGGAAATTGTTGAAGTACTCAAAAAACCATAATTGATTCTGAAAACTAGAGTACTTGCTTAACTGAATAATATCAGGTTTTGATTTTTGAGAATTGAAGTCAAACATCTAGGACATGTTTAAAAAATGCGAAACCGGGGTGTGGGACGACATTGCGAGGGACTGAAAATTCAACCATTTTTAATTTTTTTTTTTAATTAGAAGGAGATGGTTTAAATACCTTAATTTTGTTAAAAAAAACCTTGTTCCGGAACTATTTTACGTAAAGAGTCAACAAGTTTCCTATAACAATCAAAACACAAGTCTAGTAAAAGTTTGCGGACTTAAAATTCCTCGGTTTCAGAGAATTACCCATATATGTTGTTATTTAAAAAAAAAACAAGTCCATAGTTGTTTTACGCATAAGGGATGAATAGGTTGATGTTAGATGTTTATATAGAATCGCAAGCCAATGGTCCCAAGCCAGATTGATCACTCTGTGTAGAGCTAAGACGCGCGTGTACTTGCTATATTATACACGTTATTATACGCGTTATATCGTCGTTATTATTATTATTATTATTATGCTATGACAGTTTGTTATAATAATAATATTAATATAATGTACTTACCGCGGTTTTTGAATAGCAATTCATATTGCGGCGCGGAATATAGTATGATATTAACAACAATATGATAATAACGGCTCGGCGGCAAACTGGTGTGTATAATATTTCCTAACCAACAGCCAGCGGCGGCCGTCTGGGCGTACAATATTAAAATCTCGCATGAACGATGACGTTTTATATATAATCTCGCGTGTCCTTCACGTGTCAACCCGCCGTCGTCGGGATCCGTTAAAAAACCTGGTGTATATACACAGGTATACACACATTCGGTCGGTCGTCCAATATAATATAAGAAAGACGGGTGGAAAAAAGCGTAGGTAGAGGTAGATGTAAGATGGAACTTTTTCTTTTACCCTAGCCGCCGCCGTGCCGTCGTCACAGACCAAAAATAAATTCGATTTGCCACAGTCGCCGAGACAAAAGAGCAGCACCATCAGCAGCAGCGAGGATTGAGGATAAGGCAAAAAAAAAAAAAAAATAGTTATTTTCCAACTAGGAATTCGATTAAGGAACATACCGTTGCCGTACCGCGCGTGTTAATGCGCCAATGTCGACAAATATCTTCAAAATAACTTCCTTATTACATTACATATACACGACCACCGTCCTGTGGTGGTAAACGTCGCCCCAAACATGTTTAGATTGTTCAGCTTGCCGTCTCGTCATCATATTATGTTTGACCCCCCTGTACTACAACTCCATAAATATTCAAAGAAGAGGCGTATTTGCCAACCCCTAGGCCGAAAGGGCAGGTATTTGCCATCGCCCATTATTGCACCTTCACACTTAAAGATTATAAAAATAACAACAAGTTAGGTAACGTTGTATAGACGAGTATAATTAGTAAGTTTATTTTAATAAATGACAAAGACGTTGAACCGATCATCTTTCCTGCGCGTTAGTCTATCCCACCAAATTTATGTCTAACAGTTAATTGTTAAAATTAATTACGGTCGAGGATTTACGTCATACTGAGCATATATATATGTATATTGTATAGTTTTAGGGTCGTCCCAATTTGTCCGAAGTCAAAAGTATAATAATGTATAACGTAGGAGACGGGCGAGCAATTTGTCATATTAATAAAAATATCACAATCTTATCGCCCTGCAATCCAGTTTTATTAGAACAACGCGATAATTTCCGCACCAACAATCGAAGTTTCGCATAAATTGTTATTTATTATTTAAAAAAAAATTCAATCAATGCGAAATAATAATGTGTACTACATAATTCTAGGAAAATCTTCAACGGCTTAGGCTCATCCGGTTTTGGAAATGTCAGATGACCGATTATGCGTTTTAGATTTTCTCGTCAAACTGTTTTATGTATAAAAATTTAATTGAAATATTATATATAGATTATTCTCACGAAAACTTGGAAAAGTGGCCGGTAAACTCGGCTAATATTTAAAAATTGAAAACGTACCATTCTAAGTAGGCGCAATTATGTCAGGCTTTTAGGTCTAAAACGTCAAAAAAATAAAAAACAGACAGCTTTCAATTCTCTTAAGCTCAACCCCAAACGAATTTGTTGCAGTCGTGAGACAGAAGCGTTTGCTATTATATTATTATTATCTTGAAATACTCTCTATTTATCAAGGAGTTAGGTATAGGCAATTTTTTGGAAAAGGTACCATTTAGTGGTTTCAGAGACAAAACATTTATAATACAAATGTGTTTCACATTATCTACAATAATAATATGCTATATTGTATTCAATAATATGATGAATGCAATAATACATTTTTTTAAATCTTTGTAACTTTTTTTCTGATTAATATTTTGAAAAACGCACACAAGGTTCTCTCGGAAGTCTTATCCTCAATACATATGTACCTATATGTTTATAATAAGGGTTTTATCTCTAAAATCACATTGAAATGTATACAGCTGTTACCATTGGAAATCATCGACGAGTGGCCGCGACAAAACCGTTTTGCTATATTTTAGATACATCGTTAATAGAATATTTTATTTCAAAAAATCAGTTTAGTAAAATAATTGTTTTTTTTTTTTGTTGTAATTAACCCATTTTGTGTTACACAAAGACACAGATAACGACGGCATCGTCATTGGTCATTCGTCATTGAAAAACACAGATCGAACTAAGAGCAGGGCTTAATTGAAAAAAATTGATAAGAAACGATTGGGGGGCGGGGGAGGTGGACGAACGACGGACACTCTCCCGAGGAAGCCATTAATCAACGGGATCCGGACGGGATGAACGACAGGAATAAAGGGGAGCAGCGGGTGGCAGCGGGTGGCGGCAGGGTACGACGCGCGGCCCATAAAAATCGGCAAAACGTTTTTGATAGACAATTTCTTTTAATATCATTTATCTTCTTCAGGTGTGCGGCGGTCGGTCCTGGCACACGGCGACGGTGTGTACGTTTCTTTTTGCCCGCGTCCGTATAGCGGCGAAATTTCGACACACAGACAGAGACGCGTAATTTAAATTGATTTCGACGAACCCTCTGCTGCTGCAAATATACAGTTTGTCTGTCATCGGGAATAAAACGGGAACGGGGGGGGGGGGCAGGAGGAGTGACGATGACGCGAAAAATAGCCCGGTGGCGAGGGGGAGGGCACTGTTTTATATATATATATTATATGTGTGTGCGCTGTTAAGAGATCTCATTCCGACCGACTTAAAATCCATTACTCGTCGTCGTTCTTTTACTTTCTTCTTTTTTTTTTATCTCGGCCCCCGAGTTCTTATATCTTTCCTCCTTCGATATTTCTTCCTTTTTTTTAAATTTTATTTTACTATTTTGCATAATATGCAAATATCATATACCGGGGCGTTCGTTTGAAATGCCCGTGTATACAGGTGTGCGAATGTATTTCCCGGTTGTATAGGAAGGTAGGTACGGCTTGTCGGGATTATATTATTCACAATCGGCCTTTCCGATTCGCGGCAACAATATAATAATAATAATAATAATAATAATGATATATTATTTACTCGCTATGTCGACGACGGCTATATGTGTATCTGATATTGTACACCGGGGAATATCGTATTGATTGATCGTGAAATATTTATTAATATTTTCTACATTAATATATTTTATAGATATTTACCTAATAACTCATACGTGCAATTATTTTAATCCTATACGGGTTTTTCCAAAATTGACAGTATTCATAAAAACATATTATATTAAAATAAAAGTCTATTCGAATAATCGTTTTTGGAAATTATTCGCATACCTTTTAATCGAATACCGTGTGTTATATCTAGATGATTATTTAGATAACGTTTTTATAACAATAGTAATAGTTGTTTATATTTTGTATTATTTGAGTGAAACGTTATCTGAATATTATTTTATTTTTGAATTTATTCGAATACCTTCTACTTGAATAATGTGTTATCTAGACAGTTTTTAATCGAATTTGAGGAGCGATTTTAATAATAAAATGTCATTATGTATGCATTATGTTTTCTAGATGGGTGGGGGGTGGGGGTTGGGACCAAATTATTCATTAAATTAATTCTATTTCGGGCAGTAATCTGACTATACCGGTTTGCTTTTATAAACTACTGCGAATTGCACAAAGGATCGTTTTTTTAAATTAACTTCAACGGCACGTAATAGCACCGTCAATTAAATTCTTTATGTTATGCACAGAATTGATGTTCGTCACTATATTATGTAGGTATTGTGTTTTAAATGTATAGCTTAAAAAGGGTTTTTAATTTAATTATACCTACTTCTCTTCTAATAATAGTTAAAAAAAATAAAAATATATACATACACATAAAAAATTAATATTTATACACCTAACAGTATATATTATTTGTAATATCCAGTTTTAATTTATTCAGTATTAGTTTATTGTAATTGCAAGCTCCAATATTGTACAAAAAGCTAAGAAAAAAAAATGGAAAGTCCACCCCTTACTATTATTTTTTTTTTTGGGGGGGAGGGGGGAGGATATTTCTTGAGAAACATTCCTTTTGAAAAAATAGTTTTATTGACTACGAGTTTTTGTTGAGGGTTATTTTGGTTTTACAATACGACGAGTAGTACTTAACGAATCAGAAAATCGTTTTCCCGGACAAAAGCATATTTTATTTTTCGGTCGGCTATCTTATTTAGCTTTGATCCACAGATAACATTAAATTTCCAAGGCATTTAATGAACACTTCCCCGTACCCTACACGCAACCGACGTCGACCGCACTAATCCTTTCTCTCCGCGCTTCCAAAGCCTGGCCGTACTTTTAACCGCCGACTCCGTTTTTGTTCTTAATAACGTCCATTCGTTTCTTTTGCTCTTTTTCTACCACGCCGTCCCTAAGCACCCTTTCCACCGCACCTTCTCGCTTAACTATGAATATTTAACTTACCGCGTTTCTCAAACAACCTTGACTTAGTATAGTTTCCTTGACATATCTTGTTCTATAGCCATAGACATTATTATTATTAGACCAATAGTCTAGTGCTATAGAGCCGAAACTTAAACATTCTCAAAAGCGGATGCCAACAGGTAGAAGGTATTTGAAGAAAAAAAGGGGGTAAAAAAAATGTACGGAGCAGTGAACGAAGAAGAAAGATGAAGGATACGCAGTTAAAACGAAATGGAGCAGATTTTAGAAAACGAAAATATTGTGAATCACATAAAACCACGCAGGATCAGACGGTTGGGTCATGTCGAAAAAGTAGATGGTTTGATGAAGTAAAGAAAGATCTACAACAGATGGATACGGTAGACACGGATCAGGGTAACGCGGCTAAAGAACAGAATGAGTGGAGTAGAATTATTGTTTTGAACGCCCAAGCCCATTATGGCCTGTACCGCTCAGGAGTAGTAGTAGATACTAAGTATTATGTACTTACAAAGGGATGAGAACGATTGTGGGATACATACAGTCCCACTAAGAAGTAAACCACGGACTACTACTATTTACAGGCAGAGTTGTGCGTCATTCGAATCAAAACATATAAAAAATAACCATCCAGATTCGTATAATGTGTTATCCAGAATATTATTCGAATAGCTCTATTCACTGGAACAACAGTAGAAGTTATTCAAATAATTCTATAAACGCAATTAGAAATGTAAATGTGCGCAACCCTGTTTCCGGGTAATGTCTCCGATATCGTTTATTGTGGTCACT